TGTGTGTGTGTGTGTGTGTGTGTGTGTGTGTGTGTGTGTGTGTTTGTTTGTGTGTGTGTGTGTGTGTGTGTGTGTGTGTGAAGGGAAATTTCCTGCCTCTAGAAGCTGCTCTTTTCTTCAGGAATTTCCTGAGTGGGCAGACAGTCCTTCTTGAATAAATGTTTTCTGAAAGGGAAACCATTTGCCCTTGCCAGAAGCGAAGCAGCCTGCAGGAACAGGCACCATGAACTGTGTCTGTGTTGTACCACGGGTGCGCGTGGGGGGGGGGGGGGTTTCAACAGACATACGGTAAGCCATCAGCCTCTGCGTCACAGCAGACAGTGAAATGGGTATCTCTGTTGTAGAGCCGTGGTTGGTAGACACTTTTTATGTGTGATCGACGTACAGGCCAGTTGTGTTGCGTGGATTGGTTAGCTTAATGTTCTGCCTGAGCCTCTGCTGAATCTAGTACAGAGGTATGTGTGATAAATATTGTTTGAATTATGGGAGCTCCGTATCTCTAAGAGCAGATGTCCTAACCCTAAAACAGTGGGGGTAGGGCTGTGGGTTTCTCTTTTTGCCTCTGTGGGTGTCTTACACAGCCCGCGAGCTTAAGAGGAGCAAACCCCACGTCTGACATTTCCTGGGTGAACGGCAAGGCCCTTATTTGATCGTCACAGGTGGGTAATACCACCCTGTTCTGTTTAACTTCAGCCAGACCTGTAGGGAGCGCCATGTTTCAGGGAGAGGGGACTGAATCTCAGCATAGGGCCTGGCCTTTAACCTTCAGTGTGTGGCCCCAGACTTTCAGGTGAGGGGTCATGTGAAATGGCAAAGATACGTATGCAGACTGGCAGAGGCTTGCAGAGACTCGTAGAGACGCGCAGAGACGCACAGAGGCGGCAGTTCTGTGCGTCAGGGCCGGAGGAGGGTGCGTCAGGGCCGGAGCAGGGTGCGTCACCTTGTGTGGAAATCTCAGCGCCCTTTCTTATATCAGGTGGAGGCAGCCAAAGGCAGCTGGCCTGCAATTATTGGACCTATATGGAACATGCGTGTACGTATAAAACGACGGGCTGTTTGTCCCTGTCGTTGGTTCATAGGGGCTTCCGAACAGATTTAACGAATGAGGAAGTGAGACATGTCACCAGGCACTGAGGGGCTGAAGGATTGTGGGAAATGCCTGCTTAACCAGGCTCTTGGCAAGCCCCATGTCACTGCAGAGTCACTCCACTGAAATCCTGTGAATAATCTCTCAAAATATCACATTGGTCGCTCATTAGAAGGTCCTGTGTTTGAAAGCGGCGAAGATTTGCAACTGGATTACTTCCTAAAACAGCCCGTGTTTCATGAGATGCTGGGGAGGAGGGGGAGGGGTGGACCCATGGGTGAAATAAGATACTTGTGATCTCATCCATCTTCGCCATTCATTGAAAGTTCCAACAGGTTGCCTCGGTTACACTGAGGACCTCCTCCGATGTTTCCCTGCACGAGATCTATAAATCTAACGAGCCGTTATACATTTGCGGGAGATAAAGCTTTCCTGTTACCCTTCTACTTTTATCTGTTTACTTCACAAGCTGGTACGTAGGTGCTTCTGAGTCTGAGTCTGGAATGGCTTCTGTCTCGAGGCTTCTTTCGGTCTTAGTGATAGTGGCTGTTGAAGGGAAAAAAAAAACCCGCAACCCGGCATTTCCTGTGCTGTCGGGGGGACGCTGAGGGTGGATGAGGAGGTGGGGCTTCCTGCCAGACGGGGTGGCTTTGGTCGGAAGCCTCTGCACTCCCTTCCTCCCCGCTCAGCAGCTGTGGACCTCGCAGATGGTCGAGGCCAGGCCCCTGCAGAGGACTCTGATCTGACTTTCAGCTGCACTGGGGGGGCAGGCGTTGTCACGACCCGGTGACAAGAGTTCATTTTATGGACAGCTCCGCTCGATCCTGCCAAGTGCTGTATGGGCAGAATGTCCGCCTTGCAATTCACTTGGCATGAAAACTTGACCTGCTCACTTCAGTATGCAACAGAAGACGAAATGGAAGGATAGGAAATATCTTTACATCGTTGTCCGCCTTCTAATGGGGGGAAATGCACTGTGCAGTCATTTGAGCCTAGTGCATAGAGACATTGAAATTGTTTGCAAAAAATGAAATTCCTGTAGAGCAGGACCTGTGTAAATACCAGGAGCAGGTGTGGCTCATCAGAAGCCAGGTAGGATAGAAAACCTACTGGATAGTAGCTCTCCAGGACCGGAGTTAGAGACCCCTGCTGTAGAGGAACAGCAAGATGCCCATTTACATGAAGCAGACATTTTTATCCATGGCAATGTGTACTTTTCTGAGAATGAAGAGTCAGGGGGTCCCTGGAGAAATAGGAGATTAAAGGCCTCCAATGAAATCCAACAATGAAATCACACTGCCAATGTTGGGATTTGACCCAGCGACCTTCTGATTACAGGTTTAGGGTCCTAACACACTAAGCCACAAATCACCATCAAACTGACCACGTTGTCATATCCAGCATGAACTACACACACAACTTTTTGCAGTGATTGCACTTAATAAAGAGCATTATGGATTACTCACACTCTCCAGGATTTCCCTTAATTCAGTTGGTGTTTCCAGCTGTCATTATTGTGTTTTTTAGTTAAAACAAACTTCTCTAGATGAATCACGGTTAAAAGTGAAGTGACACAAGCAAAACTAACAATCCACACACATCGGTCACCTGTCCAGCGTCTGACGGTAGACACAGCGCGACAAGTAGTTGTATTGTTTCATGGTATGCAAAAGAATGTACAGCGCTTCAACATGGAAGAATGTTTTTTGCGTTTGTATTCAAGATGCCCCTGATGTTCTCCTTGGTATTCCTCCGTCCTTGGAGGTTGAGCTTTTTGATTGAGTCGTCCTCTATTTTGTTACATTTCTGATTATTTACCTGGTTCTAAGAGAAGCTCATGGCCGTAGTAGACATGAACAGACTTGACGGCGCAATTAACATAATCCTCTCCCTGCTGATACTTTTTACAGAAAAATAAAAGCATCAGGAAGTCGCACGTGAACGTGTGCTTTCCTAGGTGGCTGTGAGAACGACTCTGCCGTTAGCACGTCCCATCCTCTGACATGTTTGCAGAACACCCCCCCATCCCAATCGGCCGTGATCAGTGATGATCTCTGTGAAACAGCTGTTCTGTCCCTCGGTTTCCTTCTAAAGTGTTTGTTCGTTTTCTGTGACTGTTATATGTACATGTTCCATTTCCTAATAGAATGTGTGATTTTTTTTCTTCCTTCGCCTGTGGGGGGGATTCTTGTCCTCCCACCCACTTCTTTTTCTCTGCTCAATTCCGTTTGTCTTTCCGTTTTTAAAATGTATTTACCTGTTTTTTCATTCTGCTATCTAAGAGGAGAGCGGGGAAGGCTTTCAGCCGACGACGCAAGTGCCCCTTTGTGCTTTGCTATCGCAGTGGGCCTGAAACCTGACCTGCTGAATTTGGATCGGTTTTGGTGGGGGGCGGGACTGAAGGATTGTTGCCAGAGTGAAAAATCAAGGGTAGCAGCTTCTCACTTCCAGTGTGGCTGGACTCTACGGCCTGCATGCGCCTCTGTGACTTCTGTGCCAATGCCGGTGCTGATGCCCTGTCCTCGCCGCCCCCCCGTTCCCTCCCCAGGACTGCAGCCGATGTTCTGGAGCAGAGAGGACGTCTCTCAGTGGCTAAAGTGGGCAGAGAGGGAGTTCTCGCTGCACCCTATCGCCAGCAGCACGTTCGAGATGAACGGCAAGGCCCTGCTCCTGCTCACCAAGGAAGACTTCCGCTACCGGTCTCCGCAGTCCGGTAAGCCCCATCCGAGGCATGTATGCAACTGGCAAAGCCACATTCCCATGGGCTAAAATGTTTACTTGCTCATGCTGTGACTGTATTTTCATATGAGATTAGTAACATGTGGTTGTCTATAATAATCTGTAATGGAATAAATTATTTATACAGTGATCCCCCGCCTATTGCGGAAGTTACATTCCAGATACGTGAAAATCCGTGATATAGAAAGACCATATAATTTTTATATATATATATATATATATATATATATATATATATATATATAGTTTAAGCCATAAAATACCCCTCCCACACGTTTTAAAAGCGATAGGTGAAAATCCATGATGTAGAAAGACCATATAAATAACAAAAAATTATAGTTTAAGCCTTAAAATACCCCTCCCACACGCTTTAAACGCATGTAAACTTATTAAAACAACACATATGATATATGGATGTTGGGCTAAGGATATGAGTAACATAATAATGATAATAATAATAATAATGATAGGTGAACCGCGATATAGCGGGGGATCTCTGTATAATTCTTATATGTATAGAATTTGTTATATACTGTTAATAAAATTAATTGTGAACAATAATCCTAATTCTTCATGAGCTTGATCAGGATAAGCAGTTGGAGGATGGATGGATGGAATAATCCCTTCTTTCTTAAAATTCTAGTTTGTTCCTATAATTTAGTATTTAATCCATGACTTAGTTTAACGCTTCGCTTTGAGAAGTAGCTTAATCCGATGTTCCGCCCTCTGGGCCCCGAAACAATGCCATTGATTGAAACCGCCGCTCTTGTGGGATAGTAATTTTCTGATGCTCTCTAGAGGAAGTCACACAGCTTAGTAGACAGTCATTCAGGAAGTCCTATTGTGTAAACGGCGCAGAGTGACCACATCATGCTCCTCGCATCATGAGGAATTTCCCGTCAGATGGCCACTTCCAACGAGCCGCCGTGGGCTCTTGGTGCGAAAGTGGGAAGTGGACGGAGAGGACGGAGCATATCGCCATTTCCCCAGAGTGAAATCATTTCTGGTTACTACCAGAAAGCTTTGAAAAAACAGTTTGTTCCGTTTAAAATGTGTTACAATGCAGGATTCAGACGTGCCATACCAGCACGGTGTTCTATATTCAAACTGTTTGTTGGGTCCAGTACCTGAGGCCCATCTGTCTCTCTGTCTCCTAACCCTAACCCTCTCTCTCTCTCACACACACACACACACACACACATTTGCGTTTGTATCTTTGTGTGGACCTTCCATTCATTTCTATGGGAAAAACCCTAATCCCAACAATGACGACCTTAACCCCTACGCAGCCCTAAGCTTAACCATAAGTAACCAAACAAAAATTGACTTATGGCATTTTTAGTTTTGATTGCAGTTTCCCCTTTGTGGGGACTGGAAAAATGGTCACCACAGCATCCAAATAACAGGTTTTTATCACAAATGTCCCCACAAGTAATATATACATAACCCCCCCCCCCCAACACATACACACAGGACCTTTTATGTAGCAGCTGTTTATCATGTGCTGACCCCTGACCTTTGCATTGATTTGTGGTTGTACTAAGATATAGGAACAGATTCTGTGAGTCAGGCTTTTAACTCTAATGGGGAGAATAAATTAAATAGATGAATAACGCCTGCTGCGGCAGAAACCCAGCATAGAGAGGAACGTTATTCATAACGAGGCCAGGCTATATCAGCTGAAGGCTGCAGCAGCGCCTCTTACAGGTCTAATGTGTACCTGCATCTTGCCAATCTCCAGCTCGGAAAAGAAATACAACTGTATCGGAGGGGAGTATATCAGATGACCGATCAGAATGGATATAAAATAGTAGAATTTAATATCCAGGCACGGTGATGTGCAGCCTGATCTTTACACATTGTCTGGAAAGACTTTCTGTTTTCCATGTTTTCATTACTGGAGCAGAGGCCTCGCTAAGTGGCCGTAGGTCTCTATAGTGTCGTGTTATGGTTGTGGGAACTTGAGCATCTTTGGCTTAGTCTGTGGTGACTTTCTTGATTTACTGCTCTGAATTCTTATTGCAGAAAGGGTAGAGCTCTGATGGGCGGGGCAGACAGGCAGCCACGAGGGGCGGAGGTGAATTTGCTGGCAGGCAGTCACCGGGGCAGCCCTGAATCACCTGTGCTCCCCTTTCACGTTCCCGTACAGGTGACGTTCTCTACGAGCTGCTGCAGCATATCCTGAAGCAGAGAAAACCCCACGTCTTCTATCCTTCCGCTTTCTTCTCGGGGAATTCCTTCCACTCGCCGGCAGAGGGGGTGTTCCAGCAGCATAAACTTGAAGGTGAGATGAGGTTTAAAGGTGAAGCCAAGCTCACATCCCCGGCCTGATAAACTGCTGTCTCACACAGGTCAACAAACGTCAGTCTTCTGGTCACTCACAGCAGCTTTTGGGTATGGTAGTGACTTCTCATCCAAATGATGACTTTCTAAAGTCATTAAGACAAGCATCCCGCGACTTCCTAAAAAGCCGGATCTGTCTTCCTTTAGTTGTAGGTTCAGCTCTGTTTTTCTACACTGTTTATAAGCTGTAATTTCTCGTCCAGCCTATGCTGACTGTCATGACACACATCAAGTTGACTAGTCATTGCGACATCGTCGAATAAAACATCTCAACATGCCTTGCATCACTTCGGGAGCGACAGAATGGATTTTAACGTGTCTGGCCTTGAGGGAATTCCGTTGAGAATGCTTCCTGTGGGACAGTCCTGTCGGGGTGGGTGTTTTCCATGCACAGAGGTAGACTTTGGACTCTTGGCTACTCGGAAACTGGAATGTTGACCGCGAAACCGGTCCTACAAGGAAACGTGTGTATTTATGTATGCACTGAGGCTAGCCACTTCCTTATCTTTCCCATTTTTCAAGGTGATTTTCTTTTATTTTAACGATGAGCTCAGAACTTCCCAGTTCTGTTCCAGGTTGATGTTTAAGCTGATATTTAATATGCCTGACGATCAAAGTAATGTTGATAGACGCACCATGTTTATGACGATTATGTCTCTTGTGGGGGGTGTCAAAACTTTTGATTTCTCTTGAAAGAACATACATGAACTGCATTATTAAGAAGGCGGGTACATTTTATGATTTAACCATTTGAAATGCCTTGTGAATTATAGGTAGTAACAATTGACAAACAACCTAATGACTTTTTTTTTCTACAGAGCACCTTTTATTTATTGGTTGCAAGTCTTATATGTCTTAAACAATCCCATTTTTTGCCACTTACCAGGAAATGAGGAAATGAACACTTGTAAGTGTTTCGGTTGTTACTGGAGTTAGTATTATGTTCTTTGCATGCACTGCATTTCTTGCATAACTCCCTCGCAGAGCTGTTTCAAAAATGCAAAGTGAAATTGCTCTCAGCAAGGCACATCCTTAACCCACGACTGGGGCTGTCCATAGAAGTCATGAAATTTTAAGCTAGAGTGCAGCTATAATCTGCTAGCTGCCTAATGTGGAATGCAGGATCGTTCCACCCCGAGGGTGGACTTCTCGTTTGGGCCAGATTGCGCCATCTCCTGGTGGAGGTTGGGAGTGTCAGGCAGAGATCTCTTTAATCTGTTTTGCTTATGAAAGGGACTAGGTCAGAATCAGAATCGACTTTATTGGCCAAGTATGCTTCCTCATACAAGGAATTTGTCTCTGGTTTTGTCGTTGTTCTCAATGTACTTACACAGAACAGACATACAGTAAAAACATGTATAGATACAGATATACAGCAATAAAGTACAATATGTACAGTAAGGACTTGAGCTAAAGGACCATAATGCAATGGTGAAGAGTCCAGAGAAGCTGACTACTGTATATACATGAGGTCAGTGAACCTGCCAGTATATATGCACTGCTTTTACTGTTCAACAGAGTGCCGGCCTGTGGAACGTGACTGTTCATGCGTCTGGTTGTTTTGGTGTACAGTGCTATGTGAAACGTTATTTAGTAATCATTTTAAAAACATAAAGAAAAGATTTTGTTCATGTGGTGTCATCTTTGTTTTATTTTCTAAATGGCTGTTTCTGCAATCGCATCGTTCTGTATCCTAACTCACAGAAACGGTACGGCGAACCGCACGGAATACAGAGCCCCTCCCCCAGCACACGCCCACCATCGAGCTGTGCCACCGGCCCCGCTCGCCTCTCCACCTGGGCCGTCCCTCTCCCATCCCCTTTTGCTCCCCTGCTGAACTGACACACCAGGAGGACCCCTTGCAGGCGTCTTCCCAGCTGCCCGACAGCAACCACCACCCCGAAGATCACTACCAACTGTCGGTATCACCGGCCAATCGGAGCAACGGGCGCTGTACCACCCCCCACGAGGCAGCTCGGCCGGAGACCCCTGGCCAGGAGAGCCCACGGGTCATCCAGCTGGTGCCCAGTGCCATTATGAACCCGCTCATCCTCAATGCCCGCGGGGGGGCCGCAGACTTCAAGCTTGCACGTGCCCCCCCTGAAGACGGGCGCGAGGGGAAGGGCTTGCCCGCAGCCCAAGCCCGGGAGGACATCTTCTACCGTAACCACATCATGTTGCCCATCTCGCCCCCCAATGAGCAGGCTGTGCCCATTGGCCGGATAGCAGGTGAGGGTTAGGATGCCAGGGGTCACCGCTGTTGTGCCCTCATCTAGATTACCAGCTGTCATAATAAAACATCACATTTCATGACACTTCTGTTTTTTTATCCTGTGTTGGTCCTATTGAATTTAAACAATTACAGTAGCTAGATGTAACACTTTTATTGAAGGCTTATTGAAGTCGTGACTTTCAGTGGCTGTCAGGCTTCTGTTTTTAGAGCAGCTAGGGTATGATTGGCAGACGCTTGAGGGCACAGCCCCAATGACAAGTTAAGGTACTAATCAATACTCTTTTTTTCTGACAGCCCTCTCTGATCTTACTGCGATCAGTAACTTTTCAAAAAGTATTTAAATTCAGCTTGTACTTGCTTGTAAGTAATTTTTTTTGTGAAAATGAATAATCTGTACATCACAAGTTAAAGTTATTCCATTAAAGAAATGTTAAAATATGGGCCATACACAAATTTGGAGATATTTTGGGGAAAAAAAAAATTCTAATGAAATTCAATATATAATCAATTGACATTGATTTTTTTAAACCAGTTTCCCCAAACAGGTCATCAAAATTGAAAGAACCCAAAACTAGATAAAATGTTTTTCAGTCTTTCAACTTTATTGCACAATAAAAATCTATTTATATGAACACACACACACACACACACTAATATATTTTTACCCTCAATTCTTGGATAGTTTATGTTACTTTTTTCTCATCTTCTTAAATCTTGCTGTGAATTTGATTAAATACTTTTGTTTATTACAGGAATAAATGGTAATATAACAAAACTACCCCAGAGGCAAGAGCTGTATAATTTCACTTCAAAACTAATTTTAAAAATCAGAGAAAATTGATTTTACAGTAATGAGTTTGTGAGAATGAGCCGTATATTCCCCTTTTTGTTAATTCTACATTAATTTAGGGCTTCAATGTGTAAATATTTAGGATTGTATGGTTTAATGTAATCAGAAAACTGTAATATTATACATACAATGTAATATGTATTAACATATGTCTAATATGAATTTCCATATGTATTATATGTATTAACCTTAACCTCCTAGGTTTTGCATTTATATAAAGGGACTGTCACAAAGTCACATAGTTAAGTAATTTATGAAAGCAATCAGCAAATATATCTCTTAAAATGTGGTATACATCTGGCAGTTCTTCACAGGTAAATGGAACAGTCAGTGGTCATTATTACTGCTATCATTACAGAGCGGGGCGATGACATCATAAGGATCTTTGTACACATGAAGAGAAAGGGGGTTTGTTTACACTGTTCCCGCTTCCAGACTGCAGGTTACTATGGGACTACGTGTATCAGCTTCTGTCCGACAGCCGGTACGAGAACTACATTCGCTGGGAGGACAAAGTCACAAAAGTGTTTCGGATCATGGACCCCAACGGCCTTGCTCGGTTGTGGGGTAACCACAAGGTAACTGGTCCTCTTGTGGTTTTAGAAGACATTGAAAGTACTGTGCATAAGTCATGTTAAGACTAGTAATGTTTTTGCTAGGGCTAATTGTGATCATTTCAATTCTCTTTAATCTGACTCTGCCATGAAACAACAGACCAATGGAATTCCCCTTTAAACTCTCCGTTCCAAAGTATCCAGGCCACCTCCACTTAAAGGGCAATGTGTTCTAGATTCAGTTAAGTTTTGTACTCTGTTGGGTGGTATTCTGAGGTCAAGTCGGCTTTGTTGTTTATGTAAAATTCAGAACAGAACCAACATGACATATGAGAAGATGTCACGGGCGCTGAGACACTACTACAAGCTGAACATCATCAGAAAGGAGCCGGGCCAGCGATTGCTCTTCAGGTGAGAGGCCTGACCCTCGCCCAACAACCGCCTCCAGAAAGGATGAGGCCTGGACGTTAGCCTCGGGCTCGCACCTGATCAAAACGGGCTGCTGTATTTCAGTCATCGCCAATCTTCAAGGCAACAATAAAATGTTGGCTTAAATTATACACCCAGATTAGCTGCTACAGCTTATACACCCAGACCGCTTGACCTGGACCAAGCATTTCCTCAGTCTTCTGCCCCCCCCCCCCATACTCATAACTGTATCTGTGTTTTATTTGTTTATTTTTGAATTCAGTCATTATTATTCTTGCTAATTCTTATTCTTGCTAATTGTTTAAGATCTTTGGAAAATCATGTTGTGGAGAAAAAAAAATTATGAATTCTATAGTTTCCTATTTACGTAACAGGCACTAACAGGTAACAGGCACTAACAGGTAACGGGCCCTAACAGGTAACGGGCACTAACAGGTAACAGGCACTAACAGGTAACGGACCCTAACAGGTAACAGGCCCTAACAGGTAGCGGGCACTAACAGGTAACGGGCACTAACAGGTAACGGGCATTAACAGGTAACAGGCCCTAACAGGTAACAGGCCCTAACAGGTAACGGGCCCTAACAGGTAACGGGCACTAACAGGTAACGGACCCTAACAGGTAACGAGCACTAACAGGTAACGGGCACTAACAGGTAACAGGCCCTAACAGGTAACGGGCACTAACAGGTATCGGACCCTAACAGGTAACGAGCACTAACAGGTAACGGACCCTAACAGGTAACAGGCACTAACAGGTAACGGACCAGTTTATTCACAAGTCTAGTTAACTAACTCATCCCTGCTTCGCCAATGCTCATTTGCATGTTATAATCGATTGCGGTTTGTACGAAGTTGTTGACGTGTAGCTAAGAGTGCATCTCGGCTTGTTTAAGGTTTATGAAAACCCCAGATGAAATAATGAGCGGCCAGACCGACAGACTGGAACACCTGGAATCTGACCTGGATGAACAAACGTACGTCAAAGAGGAATGCTGAAAATTCCCAAGGACTACCTTAGAAATGGACCAGGCAGCCTAGTGGAACATGGAGCAGGTAATCGCTGGGAAGCCAGGGACTGCGACAAGCACAAGGATTTCGTGATTTCTTGGGTATGGCAAAGGAGCTTGTTACTTGGCCTCAGACCTAAGATTTTGTTAATGTTTATAATTTTTTTTTTTTTAAAAGAAAATGCTAACATAATATACAAAAGACAATCCACTATGTGTGTAAGAACATTCCAGTTGTGCCATAGAAACTGCCAGAACTGTCATTTTGGGTTTTTTTTTTTCTTTTGGTGTTGGGTTTTCCGAATATTCCTTATTCATTGTGGTGTTGCTATTCTGTGCAAATATTACTGGGGGCAGAGTTAGAGATTTTCCAGTATATATACAGAAATAAAACACTTCAAATTTGGCTGTGACAATGGCAAATCCTTTTTTATTGTTATTTGTTTGAATTAAGATGAAATTTAGTTGGGTTTACGAGTTCTGTGAGGAGGGTGCGGACTGCTTCTACTCACTGCTTGTCTTCATGGAGTGATACAATCACGGCATGACTGTGAGGAAATAAAAAAAAAAAGACCTTTGACTTTTGTAGTTCATTGCATTTTCTTCTTCTTGGGGGTGTGGGGTATCTCAAACGTGAGATCCGGTCTGGAAAGAAACCAGTATAAAATCCATCAGTTGAACCTACAGCAGAACTGCCTTGTTTTCCTAAGAGACCCCAACATAAATTCCACGTGTAGCTTCTTGGCATAGGGCTACTCTACAGATCTGTGCAGGACAGGCCAGCTGACAGAATGTTAATCAGGGGTATAAACCTAAAGGTATTTACCCTGAATTGCCACAGTTACATACCAATCTGTATAATAAACCAAAGTCAACTTTAGATAAGATACGATGATTCGACTTAGGATATTTCAGCTTTATGATGCGATAGCGATGCACACTCAGTAGTCGACTTTGAATTTTGATCTGTTCCCGGGCTAATGATATGCCGTACGACACTTTCAACTAATGCTGGGCAATGACATTTCCAGTCCCTGTAGCGATCACAAGTGTAAACATCTCATGCACTGATTAACAATGTATTGTACAGTGTTGTTTTTTTTAGGTTTGATCAAATAAACTTGTCATTTACTTATATTTCAATTACTGGTATTTAGTTAGCTACAGTAATTATTTATTGACTTATTCAGTGACGGTAGTTATTTATTTACTTGTATCATACATCATATCATATCATATCATATATTCAAATCCGACTTACAGCATTTTCCACTTAAAATGGGTTCATTGGAATGTAACCCCACTCTCAAATCCGGGAGAACTTGTATAGTCATTTTGAGTTATACAAAAATTCATTTTTAATGTAACATTTTTAAAATACAGGTCTAGTCATGACAATGTAAAGCTTCATAAACTTGAGACAGACTCCAAGTGGCATGTTCCTCCCATGGTCCCTGCAAAGCCCCGTATGGTGGGTGATAGTGTGGATTTCCATGTCTCGACTAGGCTGCTTTCCTGCTCTCCAGTTCTCCTGGGGTCTTCACTACTCAAGGACTGAACTTCATTTTATTTGGCCTTTGTCAGTGGAGAGTTCCAAAAAATATGGATCATCAGACAGATATCTGCTCAGACAGATATCTCCCATATGCTGCTGATATCCAGGTTAACTTAAGCGCTTTTATTGTACAGAATGTTCCGGTTAATCTGTTTTCAATGAGGTTTTGGTGCTAGTTTGAAGAAATGGATATTCTCCAGGACTCTGCAATATCGCCTCTGTAAATGTCGTCAGATATCTGTCATTTCTGGGGAAGTGATTCACACGATACAGAAAAAGGATGAGTGTGATGAAGACAAGCAGGTCTGGAGTGGCAGGTGAGTCACAGGAAGTGTCTGTTTCCGCCCCGGGAGGGGTGGGTGGGGGGAGGGAACATAGAGGAGCGCCGTGCTCCACAGATATGTTTGTAGATGTTCATCACGGAGCTGCAGTACCCAAAAACCATCCTCCATGTTGTCCTCAGTTCCACCATTCCCCCCTCTGGATCTCCCAGCATTCTCTCTCTCTCTCTCTCTCTCTGTCTTCTCTCTCTTGGTCTCTCTCTCTATTTCTCTCTCTCCATTTCTCTCACATGGTCTCTCTCTTTGTTTCTCTCTCTCTCCGTTTCTCTGACGTGGTCTCTCTCACTCTCTCTCTTACATGGTCTCTCTCTCTCTCTCTCTCCATTTCTCTCACATGGTCTCTCTCTCTCTCTCTCCATTTCTCTCACATGGTATCTCTCTCTCTCTCTTTCTCATTCTCTCTGTTTCTCTCTCTCTCTCTATGCCCCCCCTCCATCAAAGCAGGCCCCGCGGCCGGAAATCCTTAACGACCCAGCAGTCCAGCGTGATTTTCTGTGGCGCAGCACTCTGCTCCATGTCATCACACCTGACAGTCGTTTATATTCTGCTCCTTGGCCCCAATCCGGCTGCTGCAAGCGGGAAGCCGGCTGGTGAAAAATCACAGAATTCTCCTCAGCACTTCACACGCTTCCAGCTTTTCTTATTCCTAAGCTGTGGGTCAGAACGACGCGTCACATGGGGCCCCAGACATCTGGTCTTTAACCCAAACTTGAATATCTAGTCTGTCTGTCTGCTCTGTCAGTCAGTCAGTCAGTCAGTCAGTCATTAAGCCCACAGCCTAAATATAATGTGCTTTTTTTAGCCAGACCTTGCCTTACATTTGCAGTTCCTGCCACTGCTGGCACAAGCTCTGCATGCCAAAGCCGATGACCTGCCTTTCCCCAAACAGGCTCTGTGTCTTGTGTTCCCCATTGATTATTTTATCCTTGAGTTTTCTTTGTTCGCAATGGCTTGTCTGAACAGGTCATTGCCAAGGTGTGCCGGTCTCAAAAAGCCTACTACCATTCCCAGAATGTTCTCTGAGCAGGAGAGCTGCTTTACAGTCTCCACAGCCAGAGGAAGTGCTGACCTCGTTTCCTCCCAGTAGGTGATGCATTCTGGTTTTTTTTTATGGTCCTTTTCAGCTTGGTGCTCTGCAATGGTATTGGTGCAATGAGAATACAGGTAGTATCGGATGTTTAAGTCACAGTGCCTGATGACAGCAGGTAGAAAGGATCCCCAGTAGCACTTCTTAGCACACTGGTGGCTAAATGTGCTTCAGGGTAGCGCCCCCTGGAGTGGAAGGGCAGAATCGTTCATGATGTTGTTAAATTTTGCCATTATCCTCTTTGCAAATGCCTCCGGGGGGGGGGGGAGGCAGGGCCAGTCCTGTGATGGAGCTGGCATTCCTGATGGGTTTAGTCAGGTATTTAGTGTCACCTGAACTGATGCTGCTTCCCCAGCAGAGCACAGCGAGGCAAATTGCTGGCCACTGTGGGGTGGTATAACAGCCTCAGTTGCTTGCTACACACGTCAAAATACATCAACTTCCTCAGAAAGTAGAGTCTGCTCTGGCTTTTCTTCTACAATGTTGCTATGTTGTTTTCCCAGTCCAGTGTGCTGTTCAGGTGGACCTCCAGGTACTTGTAGCCCTGCACCACCTCCACATCCCCCCACTGGATGGTGTTTGGTCTCAGGGGCTTCCTGATATATCAGAAGTTGACCACCAGCTCTTTCTGCTTGCTGACGTTGAACTGCAGGTTGTTTTCCCTGCACCATAATACGTAGTCCTCTGGCTTGTCTCCATTGCTGATGTATCCTACGACGGAGGAGTCGTCAGAGAACTTCTCTAGATAGCAAGAGCTGGTGTTGTACTGGAAATCCAATGTGTAATGTATTAACAGAATGGTTTCTTGAGGTGTCACATTGTCACTCTCCACTATCTCACACATGGATCAGGAGTATAATACAATGCAACCACAAACACTGTGTTTTACCTCCCCTTAGGAAGGCCAGGGAACCTGTCAGAGAAGATAATCAACCTTTTGTTTGATGTAGGTGAGTTCTCTATTAAACTACAAACACCTGTGTATTTAGTTATAGACATCCATCGCAGATGTTCATATGCTTTGTTCTGATGATGTATTATAATTAAATATAATTAATTAGGATTTTTTTCAGTATTTCTTTTTCTGTGGAGAATTCCGTGTGCTACTTAGAATATCTCAAAAGTTCAAAATGGGTGAATATTGTAACAAGGTGAGTCAGAGAATTATTCATTGTATTTGTAATGTATGTAGCCTTGCTAGCCAACTTGCTACCAACAGAAGGGGCTTCAAACCTTATAAACCTTTTTAAAAAAAATATATTTAAAGATGTGCAAATAAAGCAAAGAGCCGATGTACTGTATATTTTTAGCAAATCATAGTTATTTCATTTGAAAATTTGTATGTGGTAATATGTACTGTAAAACAAACCTTTTCCATGTTTATGGTTAATCGACTAGCCCTCTCTCACAATCTGTCCAGAAACATGTTTCAGAACAGCAGTCCAAACCCCTGATGATCAGTATTGTGAAGATTCTCAGAAGGTTTCTTGGAGAGGAGGTTGAATTTCACTTCTAAAAATATCGAACCCTAGTCTCTGGTGATATATAGAGGTAAAATCAGACTTGAAAATAAATAATTGCTAGTGGTGTGTGTAGGGTTGTCAGAAATTTAACAAGGCTTTATAATTATGAGCTCCTGCTGATATTGTTATTTAAGCACAAGGTTCAATGAGGCAAAGCTCAATGTAGAGTGATGACTAATACGTACCTGCTGAGTTTTTGGTTACATGTAATGTCCTGTATAAACAAAAGCGTAAGTTAAAACAAGGTCATTGCTGTCCTGCACGCTCGGGCACAGAGCGGGGAAGCAGCACAGGAGCCAGGGGAATCGGATGAACGAGGGATTTTAATTAGAAAAGAACAAGGACCACTATACACCATAAAAAGGATGGACGTCAATGACCGAACTGGGCAAACAAACTTAACGTGGACTTAAATACACCAGACTAATTAGACGCAGCTAGAAACGGCTGGTAACACGGGGATTCCACACGAGGTAGATGAGGGGGTGTGGCACACGGGAGGATTGGGGCATGACAATTTCCATTCCAAGTCCATATCAAAATCGCATTTCAATTTCTTTTTTAGTGTTTTCCTTCAAATATATATTATATTTTACACCAGTAACATTCATCACCAATAACATTTATTTATCAGAGATTTTTATCCAAAGTGAAATTATTATTGTGAGAAAGCAGGGTCGGCAAGTCCCCGGAGCACTTGTGGTTAAGCTATAGGCGCTGCTCACGGGTCCAGTGGTGAAATCACTCTGCTGACTACGGGATTTTGAACTGCTGACCTTTCAATCACAGACACGGGATCCTTCCCCCCGAGCGACACATCACCTCATTCAACTAAGGATCCAGGGGTCAAGAAATGTGCCACTGGCCCTTGGCAGATCTGTGGAGAAAAATGATGTATACTGAGTATCCACTTTATTAGAGGCACCTGCTGCTTAACACAAGTTCCGGCCTTCTACCCTAAACAGCATATCATGCGGCTATAAGTCAGTATATACCGCAGGCAGACAGGGTCAACAAGTTCACCAACTGTGAGGCTAAGCATTATAATGACTAAGGTGTGATTATATACCTGATTCTGAAAGTGGCAGGATTGCTGGTAGTGGATCCAATGGACCCAGAATCCCAGAAACTGCCCTCCTGCACTGTCAGAAAAAAATAAGTATCAATTTGTACCTTTGCTAGTCACTGGGGCTGTACCTTTAAGGGTCTGCAAATCGTACCCTATATATAGCTGTAGGTAAACGTACCTTTTAGGGTACAAAAAGGGACTGACTCTGAGGAACATCCCCAAGGTACAAACAACATGAATGTACCCCCAGTGGTACAAAAATGTTACTCATAGTCAATTTCTGTATCTTATAAGGTACATTTCCCCTTGAGGGTATAGATCCAGTGACAACAAAGGTACAAACTGGCATTCCTTTTTCCTGACAGTGTGGGATTTTCGCACACTACAATGTGTATAATTTATGGAGCCTGGGTAGTGTCATCCCTGTGGCCAAAAACGCACTGCTAATGAGAGAAGTCAGAGAAGAATGGTCAGACTAACTAAAACTGACAGGAAGGTCAAAGGTGCAATAAGAGCTCAGAACAACTGTGGTGTGCAGGAAAGCATCTCAATAAGCACAACCCTAGAAATGGTTCTGGAGACAATCAGTTCCTACCTGAGACTGTGTGGGGTACTTGATAAAGTGACTGTTGAGCATATCTTTAAGAACAAAGATTAGAAATGTTCAGAGTATGTTCTTTTTATATTGTTATATTTGTGAAAAGTGGACAATTAAGAAGCAGGCCATGGAAAGTATTTGATGCTTTTTGAGATTTGGTGCTGGTGAACCCTTTTAAAAGTACCACGGACCTCAAGCATAACAGGGCAATTCTTGATCAAATCCAGTCTGAATTTACACTTAAAATACAAATGACGAGATTGAAGCTGTCTTATTTTGAGTGTATTCTTACAATAGCCGGTGTATTGGAGAAGGTAATGTGAAAACTTGGAAAAGTTTGGAAAGAAGCGACTAGCAACAACTGCTAAAAATGCAGTGTGATATTAAAAAATTAACTGTAATCTTGCATTATCGGCGTCATGTGCGTCCTCAATATTTACACACGATGGCGCTATTGTACCGCTCTTAATTATACATAATTCCTTTTCTTATAGGTCTTTGCTGACATGTTCACAATCCTGCACTAGACAGCTCACTATAATATTAACCATTCATTGATAAGATGTTTTAGTTTTTTTTTATTAGCCTGTGTATTCAATTACATCAAGTTATTCTATTACTTTACTATTAATTTCTTAAATACTTTTTGGCAAATCATACTGGATGATGCTGAAGTTCAGTATGTAACATAAACGAATATTTCTCTATTTCCTGCTATAAAGAGAGTAAACCCTACATTTTCGGAAAATACACGTGTGTTGAAAAGAATTTCCAGTAACTCGGCAAAACATCACAGTGCGATTCTACTGATTAATGTTACGCTGAGTGCATCTTACACTTTGCCCGCGTTAATATAGATCTAATTTAACTGAATTGGAAGTTATTCTGGGGTATCGCACAGTTTAAATTAACCAGTGAAGTGCGTAGGTCAGATCAGAAATAGTCGTGTGTTAATTATCCATTGTAATGAAATGTGCCTAAGTCAATGCTTTTAATTGCTGGCATGACTGATCTGTCTACACTGGTATATTTGGTATAAATTGGAGGCGGCGCTGACCAACCTCTGGATGCTGTTGATAAGTTGGTGCGCCGGAGATGCGCCGCTCAGTCTCCGGTGCGGCGCCGCGGAGAGCGGAGCGCTTTCGCTGTCACCGAAGCTGTCGGGACGGATTGATGTATCACACCTGCCGCAGTTACCATTTCACTTGGCAAAGTGCCTTCGACATAACCAGTAATTTTACTATTTTCACTTTTTTTCCGGTTCACGTGTGTTGGCACACGGAGGGTTGCCTGGTCGGTTTTGCTGCTTCAAGTTAAGTAGAAAATCATTGAAAAGATATTTCCAGATAAAAAAGCACAAATACCATACAATAAGAGAAGAGGGGAGGACTGGGCTCCGTCGCTACAGATGTGTTGGTGAACAGCCGGATTGCGCCGAGCGGCCGCTCATTCATGATTTTTAATTACTTTAAAAAATCGGATCGTGTCTGTAAAAGGAGCGGATGCTTTCCACTGGGTCCTGGCTTTTAAACATTTGTCTGGGGCTTTTCGAAGTCTCAGCCTGATGAAGGGAAAATAGACACAGTGGTTTTCGGGAGAGCAGATGGATTAAGCGTGGCTATTTTCTGAAGTCAAGGTCGAGAGGCGGTAGCGGGGCACCAGGTATGTAGCCGCGACGGGGGCTGGGATTTTACCACGTCTCTCTGATTTGGGTACTGTTTTTAATGAATGACATCCATACAGATCAATCCGATCTACCTCTGGTGAAGGCGCTAACGCAATATATCCTAATCAAATGGATAAACCCAGATTAGTATCTCGGAACTTCAAAGGCGTTAAATGTTAAATAATTGGGCGTAACGTAAATTATCAAGTTGGTATACAGGTAAGTACAATTAATTCAAATTAAAATGCATACAATTATATTTGCATTACTACTCTCACTAGTACGCTGTAAACTGAAATAGTATATGCCTAAATTTTCTGAAAAACGTTTTAACAATTTTATCTTGGTTTTTTTTTTTTTACCGACCTCGGCTAGAATATCCTATATATAATGTTGTGTTCACTTCCACTGCCTGATTAAGGGTTTGTTATTTCCCCCCCTACATTTTAACGACTTTCCTTTGCTTTATGTCGCACACCGTGTCATAATTAAGAAACCCGATTAAAGGTGTATGTCGGTAGTTATTTCAGAAACGCACGTTAACTCTATGGCAGAAAATCCGATTATTTTGAAACTGGGCAGTTAAGAAACTTTCAGAAGTTATTTACAGCGAACTGTTCATCTTGAACTCATATGTTACTATCTTTTTTAATGCCATAGTTGTGTTTGTTCAAGTTACATGGAACAACACGCCTACTGATATACTTTTGTAATTTTATAATTATTACATGCTGGCTACATAAAACAGCAAAATACAATGAAGTTTTCAGTCTTTTTAAAATGTAATACCTTTAAATCATAAAAAATAAACTGATAGGTCTGCCATTGACAAATCAATGCTTGCATTATATATTTGACCCTTGACATCACATTAAACCCTTAAGAATCACAATTTCGTAAAACACCCGACAACGATAATCAGGCAATAAACTTTAAATGCATGTGATTTTCACGCTTGGATTTACATTGATACCTTGATTATTATTTACAAAACAGCAATATGAGATTTTTATAAACAGGCCAAATAAATAAATGGTGAAATGTGTCCAGAATCGCTGGACACACGTTTTGGGTGTATTTCCGTCTGGTTTTATTCTGTAACACACGTAGCTTGTTTTCTGACTTTGGTGCTCACCAGAAACGCAGTGTCCTCTGAGCCGGACTGAAAACCCCAGAATGCCGAAGCTGAATATTGTGCGTCTTACGTGGTAGTGAGCAGCTGTTTCTTTCTCCAAAATTAATGCACTTTTTTTTTTTAGATTAATGTACAGGTAAACCCATATGAAAAGGCATAGTAATACACACCAGGACAGCAACCTGGATCACACATACCAGGTGGCTCATGGCAATTCATGAAAATGCATGTGCATGTTCAGAAATCGGCCCCATGGCTTTTTACTGACGTATTCCAGCTAATGTTCTAAATAGTGTATCCAGACCAAATGTTTCTCTCCCCCAAGTTTAACAGTAAAATTACAGAAAGATTAAGCTTCGCAGTGCTAATGACATGGTCATAAGGCAAGTCAGGAGCTGACATTTTGTGTTCACATGTCGCATGTCAAAATTTGGTACAATGGAAAGAAGGAAAATACATCATAGACCAAAAAGTTCAATTATTCATTATTCATGATGCGGAAAGCAAATAGCTTGGAAATACTGCGGGGAAGTCCATCAGTAGTACAATTTTTGCTTGATTAACCACGGAATTAGTGATGTCTATAAACTTGCCTCATTTTGACAGGTATGGCAGCACTTTTGGCACAGAAGAAATAGAAAAAACATTATATCTGTTACACGTGATGATGAGAAAGCCATTTAAAAAAAATAGTTGTCTAGGATAATCATAGAAAATATTATGAAAATGTGTGTCATTAGTTTGAAATATATTTTTCTTCCCTTTTTTACTGTTTTATTGTTATTGTATTGTCGGGTTTGAATAAAATCTCAAAAAGTATTTTTAGGTTAAAAACATTCAAAATTCAACATTTAGAATTCATTGTGACATGCAGTTTTGAGTATATACCGAATAAATACAGAACATTATATTGTTAGTCATCCGAGTGATATCCAGAAATACACAGATGTCTTGAGACTCTCCCATAGTTTGCCTTAACACTAGAAGCCTTTCCCTGTAATGTGCATTTGGGTGTGCAGATGTGTTTATCTACTTGGGTCAGTTCACATCGGCTCTGGTGAGATTTCGCGAACTGGGCCGGCTAGTAACGGCCTGTCGGTGTCAGCAGAACCTACAGGCCCTCTGATGTCCCAGCTCTGTAACCAAAGCCTCTTTAGACCCGATCTCTGGATTGAGGAGGTCAGCCTTTGGCCCACGAGATTTTGGCATCGTCGATCATGGCCTGCTGGAGCTAGCTGCCCTACGGCATATGAAGTGAGCGTGTGGTGAGGCAGACCCACAGCCCTGATGTTCTCCTGGGTTCTGGAATGGTACCAAACCCCACATAATTCCTGATAAGAGCAGCAGGCACAGGTTTCATATAAACTTTGATGCTCAGGTGAAGCTTGGTTTGTGATGTTATGGGGAATTCTTGGGAAAACCAGTAATGGAGTGACCTGGTCCAATGTATGTTCCTTTTGCAGACCTGTAACCAAAGAATACCAATAGCAATATGTATCTTTTGGTTACCTTCATTGGTTCTGAGTGTGTTTTTATGCCGTGTTCCTTTAATTAGGATATATGATTTTACACTTACATTTAGGTTAAGTTTCTTCAAAGGGTCATACAGTATTTGGATATTTTATTTTTCTATTATGATGATCAGGATATAACCATAATAATTAACTTGTTATAGACCACAAACTCAAATCATCAAGAGCGTGAGGTTGGGCCAACCTGTTTCAGCTCTGGAATTTCACTCTTTGTTATTATTTTGTTGATGGAGATCAGGCTGTTTATTCAGGCTTATTTAGTGACATCTTGTGAATGGAAGCAGCAATTTATCTTTTTTTTTTGCTTTCTTTTGCATTGTTCCCCTCTGTAAATGTAAAGAGAGAGGGAATTCGTGCACCATCCCCATAACTATCCAGACCTTGCTATGTTTGACCCTTCATGCAGGCTGCATTTAAAGTCACTTACCCGTTTACTCGCTGTTTAAGATTCTTTGTGCATGCGTTTGAAAGGCCTTAAGCGTACTGTGCGTAGCAGTGTGTCTGTCGGCATTAAGCCTGCCCTGAGTGTCACTCCGACGTCTGTCCCCCGGTTCGGACGGCGACCGTGTCAGTGAACCGCCCCCCGCACCATTAGGTCAGTGGAATACGATTCGATCGCAGGTAATGGTAACATATCGATCAGCTGTTTGGGGTTATTGGTACACCTGTTGGCCTAGACAGCGAAGCTGAAGTGTAGTTATACTGCATACTTTGGGCGTACACCATAGCATATACCTCATACTTTGGGCGTACACCATAGCATATACCTCATACTTTGGGCGTACACCATAGCATATACCTCATACTTTGGGCGTACACCATAGCATATAAGGCATGTTGAACTGAAATAAGCCCTCCATGCTGAAATAAATGGTTTTTCCTTATGGTGATCATCTTGGAGAATGGCGTGGACAGTTCACAAGTAAGAGGACCGCAGTGATCAGGCTTATTGAAGTACTGTTGTGTTTACAGTGTGATGTCACCATGAATTTTTTTTGTCTGTGTTGTTAGGGCTGATGTGAGGCATGGTAATTATGTTGATAACTGAATGCAGTATTAGTGAGGAACTAAGTGCCCTCTATTACGGCACTGTTTCCCAACCCGGTCCTTGGGGGCCCACAGACGCTCCATGTTTTCGCTCCCTCCCAGCCCTCGAGCTAAAATGTGGACTGTCTGGCAGGGAGCTGGGAGGGAGCAAAAACATGGACCATCTGTGGGTCTCCGGGGACCGGATTGGGAAACTCTGCCTTAAGGTTAAGTTTGGATAGATAAACTTCAGCTCCTCATCATCGTTAATATGTAAGAAAGTTGAGAGTGATCAGAGAATTTCGTCAGACCGATATCCCTGCAGGGCCTGTTTGTCAGCGTTACTATCCTTGTGACTAGAGGATCTGTACACAGAGACACCGGGGGACAGATACACCCTTAGGCTTTACTGCTTACTAATCTGTCCCCCTCCCCTCTGGTGCTGCCAGTACTTCCACTGCCTGTCCGCCTTCCCAGCATCCGTCATCCTCGCCCGACACTCGGCTCTGCATCGGTGCCCCGTGGAAGCGGCTGTCACCAATCGGATACCCCTTCCATGTCTTGGCATCTGCTAATTGGATTTCATAACGCAGAGCATGTGCAGGACCTGCCCATGAGCCGGTGATGTCTGCACTCGTTTCGGATGAGATGCGGGAGGCTGCCTTTCTATAAACCGCCATTTATGTCAGTCACAGAGGATATACAGAGAGAATAAATGTTTATCTCTGAACTTAATACTTGTAATCACAGATTATTTTCATGTATCTCTGGTAAATTCTTAGGAGCATTAAATACATGATAATGACCCTATACAGCATACATGGTAGAAGATGATGGATGGATGGATGGATGGATGGATGGATGAATGGTGTGGCACACTGGATCAGTGAGCAGCATTATAGACTCACACCTACAGGGTGATGTGATTTCCTAAATTTCTCGTATTGTGTGTGTTCTTGTGTGTGTGCCTTTCAATACCATCCAATGCGTTCCCCGGCCCAATTCCCTGTATTTTCTGGGCCAGGCTTCACATAGCCCTTTTTGGGATAATTGGTTATGGGACATAGATCCATATATCATGCCCAGACTGCTGTTTGCTTTAATTGATAGTGTGCAATTTCAAATACCACTTTTATAGATATCAGTGGTATTGAAAGGTCATGCTCTTAAACTTTATTGCTCGGGAAAGACTGCTGCCTTTTTGGCTGCTACATTCCATGCCATTTCTATGACTTGGAGGTGGAGATATTTCTTTGGTAATAACCAAAGAAATATCTTCAGGTTTGGTGAAAACACAATTATC